TGGATCCACTACTCTAACAGTTCGTGCGTATCAGCCTGGCATTTGTCTCATTTTCTGATTGACTGATACACCAGCTTTGAAATACGATACGGGACGCCATCCTGAAATGCGCTTTTCGAGGCTGATCAGTCCGCGACTTGACTGTGAGACAATGCTCAGGCTTTCTCGACTTCGTGCACACCCACTCCTCCCTTTCCTGTCGACGCACCGACCTCGATGACTTCGACTTTGGCCTTGTCACCTTCCATGATCACGGCCACTTCTTCGAGTGACGGCCCACGTGTTTCAGGATAGACGAAGAAAATCACGCTTGTTTCCACAGCGAGCCACACCACATATACGATGTAATATTTCCATGTGATATCCTGAAGTCCAATTGGGTTGACAAATTGGTTGAAGGAGCTGCCGCCACGAGAGAAGAACTGCGTGATGGCGACGCCCTTGCTCCGATGGATGAAGGGGAAGATTTCGCAGATGAAGATGTAGGTGAGTGGCATCATGAGGTTGTAGAAGCCGTAATAGATGAAGATCAGTGCAACGACAGCGATGGCAGCCGAGTTGTTTGAGTGGTCTTTTGCATACACGGCCGAAGCCGCAGTCCAGCAAGCAAAGAGTAGCGTCATGCCACAGTACGAGATCAAATACTGACGCCTCCGGGGGAGGAAATGGGCTAGCAGAGCTCCCGATACCCCGGTCACCAAGTTCCAGCAGGAAAGGCCGAGATTGATCTCATTCTGCGTTCTCTTTTTGGTGATTCCGACAGTGGCCAGGACTTTACTCAGGTAGTAGCTGACGAGACCGTTGCCTGACCACTGCGAGAATAAGCCGACGCAAGCTGCAATGAACACTCGCCGTCGATTGACGCCGGATGTCACAAGCTCTTTCCACGGCCTCTTGGTGTTCTCGATCTCCAAGCGGATAGTTTCGCGGATCTGCTGGAACTCTGCTGCCACCAATGGACTTGATCGATCGCCTTCCGCATGATACTTGATCAGGATCTCCAGAGCTTCTTCGTGGCGGTCCTTTGAAATCAAGAAACGCGGGGATTCCGGCACGAACCTGGAAACGTCAACTTGTCTGCACAACTAAAGAGGGAGAGCTACCCACCAGATAAACATGAGTTGTAACGACGAGGGCAAGAGCTGCAGCAGCGACGGCAAACGCCAGCTCCAGTTGCTGTCCCAGGAGAAAGTACCCAGAGTGATACCTGCAGCCAGGATCGCTCCAGCATACCAGCTTTCGTTGAAAAGACCCGTGATCACAGACCGTTCTTTGGGATATGTCAACTCGGCGATGAGCTGGGATGCTCCACTAATTCCGTATACGATTCCCATTCCAAGGATGATTCTGGCCACCAGAAACATGGCAACTGTTTGAGCATGTCAGCGGACGACTGACAGAAGCAACTCTTACACCACTTACTGTCAACTGCCGCCGCCTGTAAGACTGCACCGATCACGATAATCACACTTCCGAACACAATGCAAGGTTTGCGGCCAAAGCGATCGTTGACGTAGGGGACGAGTGGCACCGCAACCACAGCACCAATGGAAAAGGCGGCGGTAATCACACCAAGTAACGCTCCATTTGGGTTGCCAAAGTCTGGGACAGTGAGTTAGGTTTGAATTGCGTCGCGAGTTGCGCAACCTACACTCTTCCCAGGGCTGGACAGCCTGGAGCCCGTTGAGGACGCTGCCGTCGAAGCCACTTGTGGCTTCAATTCCAAGCCTTGATGATACCAGCATTAGCATCATTTCGATCCAGGAAACAACTTCTAGGACAAAGGAAGGTATTTGGTTATGAACTCCAAGGGGACAGTACTTACGCAGCAGGCACGAGAAACAGATAAAGACGACGAAGATTCTTCTTCCTGTACCATGGTATCTTGTCTTGCTGGATCAGGTGGGTGATCTCAGACACATTCGCGACATCTTTAGCAGAGATGTCATGACCAGCAACTGCTTTCGACATGCTGGCTTAGTTACTCTTCAGATCGGGGACAGGGAGCTCAAGAAGAAAAGCCTTTGCTTGGGAATGTGAGAAAGTGGGACTGTCCTGTGCATGAAGACATGGGGAGCCTCAAGGATCTTATGTAGGGTAGATAATGCTGTGAGTTCACTATCTGCCGAAGCAAATAGACTACAGACATTTGTTGAACTCAGCCTTGTGTTCTCATTTTCCCCGCGGACTTGTCTCCACAGGTCTCCAACTGATTGGAGTCAACGCTGAGCACGAATGGGTTACCGATACCAAGACAATGGAATTTAGGCAAGAAAATATTTGAGGCAGATAGGCAAATGGTCTGAGATTTCCGGAAAACGCCCGAGCATCATGCTACCGGTCTGCCCTCGTGGGAAGTGGACCAGTCTCAAGGCTCGGCCATCAAAATGGTCTCAATGAATCGGGGCTGACTGTATTTGAGGTGATGCAAATCAGTGTACTGGGTACTCTGCCTAGGCTATGTTCAGGTGGGTTTGGCCTTGGACGCGATGGCGGCATAGTCGGACATGATCTTGTTCAACCCCTCCCGCTGCACACAGTTCTCGAAGCTGAAGCTTTTCGCCAGCTCCTCCAAGGCGTCTGTGTCCTTGTCGCGAAAGAGCTCGGCAAATTCCTGACAGAATGTCTCAGCGAGGAAGGTCTGCAGGACCGCACGCTCAATGTGTCTTGCAGTGTTCCACGTGGATGGGTAGACGTTCTTCGCCGTGGGCGAGACCGAGTCTATCCAGCTGATGAGGGGCAGCATCACATCGTCGACCTCTTTGGACGGGTACTTTCCCCATGCGTCCAGTTGCAGCCTCTTCTTCTTTTCCAGCATAGGCTCGATCAGTTTGTTCCAGGGCGAGTCGGGCGACGTGTACACCATTCCCTGGAGGCCGACGTCTTTGAAGAGCCAGATGGACCACGGGATTTGGAACTTGTCGTAGATGCGCAACTGCTCACCTAGCATATTGTAACGCTTCTGGTTGACTTCCTCGGCGTTTTCGTCCCATTTGGGGTTTGCGTACACCGGACCGAACTCGCCGTTCCAGATGGCCGTCTTGTGCCTTCTCTGAAACTCCGACTTGCGCAAGAACTGAGCCTCCAGTCTCTCCTTTTGCTCGGAAGTGCCTTCGTACGGACGCCCGGTGGGAAAGCCCATCATGCTGTAGTCATGTAGCGCGTAGACACAATTTGGGAGCACGGTGTCAAATCCCTTCCACTCGGCCGCAAAGGTATTCCCGTCGAGCCACAAGATATGGTCTGGATCAACCGCACGGATTGCTTTCTCCAGGCGAGCATAAAAGGCCGGCAAACGCACATGTTTAGGATCACAGGGTTCGTTGATGGGGTTATACCCAGCTATCCAGGGGTTACCTTTGTAGCGGCGAGCGAGTTGCTCCCAAAGCCATACCGTCCGGTCTTGGTGGTCCTTGTAATCCCAGAAAGCGGCATAGCTCGTCGTATTATCGGCGTGCCAGCCAGGACCTTGACCACCCGGGACAGTGTGCATGTCGAGGATGGTATAAATACCTTCCTTTGCACAAAGGTCGATTACCCGGTCCAGGTGCTTGAATCCGCTCTCTTTGAGCACGCGGGGGTTCATGTCGTCTTCAAAATGCCGATAGTTGAAAGGAATGCGGATGCAATTCAGACCAAGGGACTTGAAGAACTTTGCGTCGGCCTCTGTGAAGAAGTAGTATAGCCACCGGTCGAAGAAGAAGTCGTACTTTTCCTGGCCCATGACTTCCAGCATCGCGGCCCGAATGCTCGATTCATGTCCGGGATAGCCAACGATGAAGTTTTCCATACTGGTTCTCTGTCTTAGAGACGATGCCAGGCGGGAACAGATGTATTTGGTGGAGCTTACTTGAGCCATCCCCCTATTGCGCAGCCTCGTAAAATGACTGGGTTTCCCCCTTCATCAACCACCTGGGAATCTTTTACTTTGAGGATTCCTGTCGCCATTGCTTCGGTCTGCCTTGGATGATGCTGCTCAATTGGTTTTCCTGGACCCAATGCGGACGACAATGCTCGTTGGAGAGATTCCGTTGCCTCATTGCGTTTGAATCTATTCTGGAGGCGGCTTGTATTTTTCCCCGATTCACGCAAGGCTTGGAGATGGTTGAATTTAGGCTAAAATTCAAACAAAGTCGAAGGGACAAGGAAACCATCGGCGTGCAACTCCGATTCAGCCGAAAAAGCTGCTCCATGCCCAGGAACTAAGATGCCGCCTCTGCGCCAAACTTGCTCTCACGAATGATTTTGACTTGTTTGAGCAGTGATTGACCAGAAAGAGAAAGACAAGACACAGTGGTGTAGAAAAATTGATATCACGTGATATACAGTAGTTGCGCGAAGTGCTGTAACGCTCCGAAGTAGCAAGGCTACGGTGAACCAAAAGAATTATGCAACGCTCTGAATCTCCTTCCACTACCACCAGCACTTGCCTTCAGCTTGCCGTCAATGGCGCATTGACAAGGGGACGAATACTCCTCTCCATATTCGTCATGGCAGCTCAGTTGCCTTGTCTTGCTCACTTCCCGAGACCAAATTACTCCCCCTGCAGGGGCTTAAAGCATGCGAGGCACTCCAAAAACATGAAGACAAGAACCCATGACCGTTGAGTTGGCCTGTCCCTTTGTTCTATGTCTTACATGAGCTGTTCTGTCAATCCTACGAAGTGCTGGAAGCAAGGGGGGAACTGAAATCTCTGGTATGTATCGACATTCAGTGATATTCATGTGGTCTTGAACGTCTATGCTCTGAAATATTTGCGTCACATTATTACTTTCAACTTGGTGATGCGCAGATGACATGCATTCCAATGAACGAACGTTATGGAGGCCAACTTCATCAGGAATGTAAACATCGTCGTGTGGACTCTTTAATTTAAAAAAAAGGAGCTGTTAGAACACCTGAGCCACAAAACCTTTGTGGTCATTGAGCAAACTGGGTGTCTCACAACCACTGCGCATCTCTTGGTAAACCATTGTCAATCTGCGACATCAGCCTGCAGCATGGACAAAGACGAGCTGAGTGGCGGACGCCAGTCTCCCAGAAAGCGAGAGACAGCAAACAACGAAAACAATGCCGATGAACAGCAATCCCCTGGTACGTTCAACGAGCAATTGCCCTGAAGATGTTTGACTTACCATCTTTATAAACCCAGCATTGGGCTCCAGGGGAGAAAGCATCTTCGTTGGCATACAAGATTACAGAACTACTCCTGTGTATTTCAACATGGTTGGACAATTCGGTGGTCCGTGCTTTGACACGTCAACAAACTTTTGGAAAAAGAGCTTGCAAGTGGAGGTAGATGGTTCGATTGAAGCGTTTGGCACGCGGGATTATGCTCAAGTCCAATATCTTGCGCAAGACCCTCAACAAGTACAAGCGGTAAGTCTCTAACGAACCTGTCATACTGGCCGCTAATGCTTGCAGGCTGTGGACTATGTCGGCCAACTCGCAAAATATGCCACTGGCAGGCTTTTCATTACCGTGCTTCGCAATCCATCGCACAGGAACGGCCAACTCGAAGCAGTGGATGGAGTCGCTATGTCCGGCTTCTGGCTGGACCGCACAAAATTTGTGACGTGCGCCCATTTTCTGAAGACGGTCGAGGACACGAATGCCGATGAGACCGAAAGGTCCTTGAGAGATGCAAATCCACAGACACCGCGAGCCTTCGTTTCTAATAGGAAGAATGCTAGTCCCGGGGTGAGCACAAGCGGTAGGTGTACAGCCCCTGTTCAGTCTCATTGCAATTGCAAGTTTCTAACGAATTTCAGATTCTCATTCGTGGCCCGTCCATCTCCTGAGGCTCTCTCGAACTTCCGACATTGCAATTTTTGAGTTGAATCAAGGAACAGCAAAAGGGGAGAGCCATCCACCGCATTCAATCAGGTTGAGCGACCTATCAGCATTACTTACAGCGCCATCTGCCGGGAATGGGTCAATCACCTCTTTCGAGCAAATCAACCCATCGTCACTGCCTCTTTTTGCAGCCTATTACCCCGGTGACGATGATTTTGTCGAGAATAGCGACGTGTCGCCTGTCCGAAAACAATTCGCCAGGGAAGCCGGCATATTGAGCACGTGGGGATTGTTTTGTGAGGAAGCCCGGCTCTTGAATCCTGCAGAGGCAGGAAGGCCACCCGTAAGTCAGCAGTCGTCATATGCCAATAGAGTCTAACAAATCTTTCAGAGCTTCAACTCGACATTCGCAGCTCACAACCGGAGCGTAGCCTTTGGTCGAATCGAGACACCCCGTATGTCCGATCCATGCCACAGTAGGTCTGGCAACAGCATTTTTGCGCAAACCAGAGAATGCAGCATTGTGGGAACCTATGGCTGTTCGGGAGGTATGGTGTGCCTCCTCTTCCACGATGCAAGTGGCTGGCGATCTGTCGTCGTGGGACTCTGTAAGTCTATGCCAGATTCGATGGCTCGACCTACAGAGAGAGCTAACCGAGTTGTGCCATTAGATCATGGGGAAAGCTGGAACGATCGGAGATACAACGAAATCGTCGCTTTTACCCCAGCATTCGTCGACGCCATGCGAGCTGGGACCTTTTTGGAGCACTGACGAAGCTTGAAGGACCTACCTTGGTGCTGGTACTTCGTTTAATCAGCGCAGGAAGTGTGAGAAGAACGGGCATGAAGATTTTGGGCCATGAAAGAATCAAATTGAAGTACGGCGGCTAGATGGGTGAAAAGGTCATGTCTGGGAAGTATTTTGCTATCAAAGACAGGATTCCGATCAGGGGGTATTCTCATGCTTTTATTTTGGAGCGAGTCCACATTGTTCAACCTCAGCGCACTGGTACCCGTGGAGTTGGTGTCCTGGCAGAGTGCTTACCGGAGTCAAAGGATAGGTAGCCATAGTTGAGATCAGACAAGGACAGATCCAATACTTTTCTATCAGTCGAATGTCACAAGTAGAAACTAACCGCACTCAACGTCCTTGTCCACACTTCGAATGCGTCATTCATCAAGCATCAGGTGGGTATTGCCGACGACGATTTGTGATAGCTGCTGTCAGAGAGAGTCCCTCCTCTCCTCCTTTCTCCGGAGTAAGTAAGCACAAGTATTTATTCGCAGCCCTTTGCCGCCGCCTCACTCTCCACTCTGTAATCTCCTCTTTGGCTGGTCACTCGACAGGAAAATCGAACAAGTCCGCAACGTCCAGCGAGGAATCAAACAGGCCGGCGAACTCATCCCTGATTTGCGAGTCGAACAACATGTACTCGCCGCCGCCGCCGTCGTCGTGCTGCTCTGAGCCCAGGGTCTGATCCGTATCCAAAGGGCTACCTCTCCACTCGTCATTCCGCGCGTTAGATTTCTCAGAGGTTTGCAGTCCGCCGGAATCACCATCCCAGACCACCGCTGCCGCCGACGTCCCAGCATCACGCCGACGTGCAGCAATCTTGTCGTGCAAGTCCTCAAGGCCTTTGAGACGGTCCCACACGCGCATGACGGGGCCGCAGCGCGTGCTCAGTCTTCTGAGTAGCGCCAGGCCCGCGTAGAACGTGTCGCGGATCCGGGCCCAGTACTCGGCCGCGGCGTGGACGGCGAGCAGGAGCAGGTTGCCCAGCGCCGAGACGATGAAGTGCTTGAAGAAGACGGTGTGCCGTACCAGGAGATCCGTTGAGGTTTCGAGCTCCACGAGCACGCGCAGCGAGTCCTGGGCCGCGAGTAAGGCCGTCGCCGCCTGGGCGCCGTGGCTTTGGATCCGCGACGGCGATTGCAGAAGCGGGCGGTAGATGACGTTCCGTAGCTGGTTCGCGCGCACGCAGAGGGCGACGCTGAGGAAGAATTTTGATCGTTGGGGGAATCTCTCTTGGGTGGAATCCGCTGGGTGTGCGACTCGGGATGGGTCCGCATGTTCATCACTACTAGGCCCAGACGATCCAGGAGAATATCGGAGGGACTCTGGGATCTGTCGTTGCCACTGTAAAACCTGGTAGTCGAGGTAATCGACCTCGTCGCGCACCACATCTGGGTCCTTGCTGCTGAAAACATTGCTCATGTGCCACGCCTTGCCGGACAGCTTGGTAAAGGGGATCATGGTCCGGAGGTAGAGGTGGTCGAATGGCATGGCGACCAGTTTCGGATCGACGAGACTGTCCTGGATCACGAACGGCACCCCCAGCCCGAGGCTCGACCGCCTGTCCAGCATGAAGACGGACCAAAAGAACCTCAGCGCCTCCTTTCGCGGCGCTTCGGCCGGAAAATGCTTCAGCAGCGTCTCGCGACGGTGGAGTCCCATCTCCAGACATCTTCGCGACGCCAGGCACACGTACCTGCTCGCCTTGAGCTCTTCGTCCAGGTGGAGGTAGAATAGTGCCTGTGGAGAAAGGTCGACGGGGTCAGCTCTGGGGTCCTTGTAGGGTGGTCTGGTTCACATGAATGGGGTCTCACGGTAAGCACGAGGAGTTGAACTCCGTGGATTCCTTCCGCGTTCATTAATGAGTCATCCGACGAATCCAGCACACTCTGCACGAGCTGGACGGCCATTTCGCTGTTGCCGACCCCCAGTTCCATGATGCTTCCCATGGCAATGAGCAGTTTCGCCTCGTTGATAGCGCCGCTGTATAGCAGTTCCAGCGCTCGACTGAAATGGTCCCGATATCTGCCCGCCTTGATCGCTTCTAGGGCATCGAACAACGTATGCGTCTTAGCCTCGAGATGCTGGCTCTCGACCACTGGGTACATGGCTCCGAGGCTGTCGTGGTAGATATTCATCCACCTGAATGCGTCGGATCGCTGGATCGTCCATAGCGGGTCTCGAGTCAACAGTCGTCCCAGCAACGTCTTATCCGCCGTGTGGCCCCCTGGCATAACTGGCAGTGAGAACGACGGGTTCATGGCCTGTTTCGGGCTCTCATTGCCGACGGTGGTGCCGCTGATGCCTAGATCGCCGAAGCTCTCGTTGGCCACTGTAAACGTAAATTCCGAGCTTGTCGGGCCATGGTACTCTGGGGACAGGGTTTCAGCCCCCGACGGCGAGGTCAGACGCCGTGGCGATCCGCCTCTCGGGAGCACGCTGTTCAAAGACGTCTCGTCCGTAGTCTCTTTCGACGGATTCTGCTGCTGCTCGACAAGGCTGACAAGACCAGGGGTTTCTGAATGGGTCGCTTCGTGAAGAGAAGTACCTGCACCCGAGAGACTGTTCATCTTCTGATGGAGACTGTCGACCTTTTCCATAATCGTTCGGATCTGCATGTCCATATTGGCCAGGCTAGTACTCCCGTTATCCTCGTGCTGCCTGGACGCAGAAGTCGAGAGGCCATCGACGTCTCCTCGGGCTAGCGTTCGCGGATAGCTGCAAATAGTCATACTATTGAGGCATCGCTCGCAGGGCTCATCGCCTGTGCACTTGACCTTTCGCCGTTTACATTCGTTACTGTTACAGGAAGCCCAGTATTAGAGCAGACCATACAGACAGACTGTCGGGGCAGGCCAAGTGACGTATAGACCAAGGAGCTTGTTTTGCAACCAGTTCACATACCATGCGTTGGAGACATAGCGAGACCTCTTTGTTTTTGGGGCAAGCTCGAGACCGTTGTCGTTGGGTCTTTTGGATGACATCTCGTCTCAACGGAGAACCTCTTCGGTAATGGTCATGCCTTGATCAATTGATTCGAATATTTATTTGGATAATTTTGTTAGCGGAAGTCAAGTTCTGCCTCTAGAGAAGAAACACGGCAGGGAACGCTCAACAGTGTGTCGTCAGCACATTTGGGGCCGTCGTCTTTGGAGGATTTGTCTCTCGTAGCGCTGAGGCTGTCAGAGGGGGGGGGATGAGTGGGCTTAGAGTTCCGGATTTTGCGGGGTTGCGGGGGGACCGGACGATTACGATTACGATTAGGCGTGGGAGACTCTGGTAAAGTCCGGCTAATCCCGGGGGACATTAGCCATTTAAGGGCCGAAGCGCCGAGACGCGCCTCAAGGAGAGGCTGTACTGTGTACCTCGTACCTACACCAACAAGCTATCGACGCTCATCGACGCTCATCTGAGCTACTCACAGGTATCTAAGCCTGAGATCCTATTGTGATTCCGCCCAATCTACCCCATCAAGCAGCCCATAATGGCCTGCGACTCAGCTAATAATCACCGCTTCACGTCACCACAGCCCTGCTCATTCCCTGCGTAAGCTGCACAGCTTCAACCCTCAGCTGCCTTCAACCCCTGCTCCAGCTCAGCGAGGTTCCACGGCACAAATCGCACCTTGTATTCTTTGGGCTGCGTCGTGAGGGACGCCGGATTCGCCACCCCCTCTATGGGGCGCGTCTCGATGAACCCATCCGGCTCGATGCGGAAACTGTTCAGCACGCGCAGAAACAACACGTAGAGCTCTCTGTACGCTAACTGCATGCCCACGCACATGCGCCCGCCTGTACCGAAGGTGAAGATGGGGGCGTCGGGCGTCTCGAGCCAGCGTTCAGGGCGGAAGGACTCGGGGTCGTCCCACAGTTCGGGATCTACGGTTGAATGAAACAGGAAGGGTCAGTGGAATGGCTTTTGTGATGTGTCGTAAATAGCTTGTTGTCTCACTCACCCATGTTGCAGGCCCAGACGTTCAGGAACATCACTGTCCCCTTGGGGATCATCTTCTCGTCGTACACGAAGTCTTGGATGGTGCAGCGGGGCAACGATAGCCTCGTCACGGAAAAGTACCTGAGCAGGGTTTGAGTGAGTACTATGCAACTCGACAGACGAGAGCCATTCGGGAATTTCGGCCATAAATACCTCAGAATCTCCTTGATCACAGCGACCAGGTAGATGCAGCTTTGATCATCCGCGGCATCACAAAGCGGACGGTCGGCAGGATAAATCTCACGGATTGCTTCGAGCGCCTTTTTCTGGATATCCTGTCGCTTCGCCAGCAAGGCCATCCCCCAACCCACCGCCGAGTTCATGGTGTCGAGGCCGGCCGCGAGCAAGGTGAGGTTGAGAGACTTGAGCTCCATCTCGGTGAGCTTGGCGTCTTCATCCACGAGGACGTTTCCTCGAATACACGGCTTGTTGGTGCCCTGCTTGATCCGTTTCTCCAGGTCCTTGTCGAGGATGTCAATGTACCTGTCCCGGCGAAGCTTCATCTCCACCGCTTGGGACGACTGGGTATTCCATGGGTTCAGCCGGAGGAGTGGGATATAGTCTTGCAAATTACCTGTCGTGCTTCGGAAATTGCTGATCGTGTCCTCGACATGGACTATCTCGTGGAAGAGATCATTTTGGGACTCCATTCTCGATCCCCAGTGCAGCGTGAGGCCGATGCTCATGTTCATCCGCAGGAACAGGGGCATGGGGTTGATCCCCTTTTTCCCACAATCGCCGTATTTGAGCGCCTCGGACAGGAAGACACGGGTCTCCCGATCAAGGTGAGGGATGTAACTCGCCACGGCCGGCCGGTTCAAGGCGGATGCCACTGCTTTCCTTCTTCGTTTAAGCGAGTCAGAGTACGGACTGGTCCCGATGGTGGTGCCAGCCGTGTCGGAGATGAGCTGTTCCATCAGGTATCAATAGTGTTTGCCCCACTAACTTTTCATGGATGAGATGCTACTCACCTTGTGGAAAGTATAGAACTCTGGT